TCCAGTCTTTTCTCTTCATATCGCCACTCTCCTCTATTTTCAACTTCATGTAGAAAACTTTCCTGCATCTCCCTGCCTCTAAGATTGGGTGAGATGCTCATCCATGTTCTTTATTTTATTTTGTTTTATTTTATTTTTATTAGTTTTAAGTATACAGTACATTGGTTAGCTACTTATATAGTTTATAAAATGATCCCCTTAATTGCTCTTTCTCTCCTCTGGCTCTCCACCTAGCCATTACATTAATGCTAACTGCAGATCTCTTATCATTGAATATTTCATACTAGACTGTGATTGACTATTTCTCCCCACCCCCAATTAAACCATCAGATCTATGAGGGCAAGTACTAGGTTACATTCCTTCCCTGTGGCTATAGCACCTAACAGTGACCGTCACATAATAGACTCTGAACCAACATCTGTTGAAATACGCATCTAACATATTTTTTTAAAGAATCTCAGCATAGGATGATTTTTATGTTTCTTGGTTACCCATTCTTGGTTAATCTAGTAAGAAACTTTTCCTTGAGTCTAACCTAAATATTTGCTGTTGTAACTTTTAAACACATAATCTCACTTAATAGCTCATCATCTTGAAGGAATTTACAAATTCATTCTTACCTTTGTATTTCTTTTTTAGACAGTTGGTATGCCTGATCAAACCAGAGTCTTAAAAGTGGTAAATGTATGGGTTCAAATGAAGAGCTATATATTATCATCTGCAAAATAAAAAGGTCTAGAAAGATAGTGAATATTAAAAACACCAGATTGGGGATCTAGAGTCCTGATGTTTAGTCTCTCTATTGTGTGAACCTGAGAGCTCTAGGAGACCATCCCCATTCTAACATATACAGCTACTGCCAAACTTGAGAACTAAGATTACCATAATTCTGTGTAAAGTGTCAATGGATTCTGAATTTGTGCCTGCGGAGTGTCCTTAAGGAAGAGAATAAGAGTTTTTTAAGTCATGGACCTATAGATACGTATTCGAGATAATTGTAGATGTAGATTCACATGTACTTGTCAGAAATAATACATTACTCAGTTTTTCCCAAAGGCAACATTTTGCATAAGTACAGTACAACAATATCACAACCAAGAAATTGACATTGACATTGGTATTCAGATTCCACAAGTTTTATGTGCACTCATTTGTGTATCTATATTTAGTTCTGTGTAACTCATCACATGTATAGATTTGTGTGACCATGACCACAGTCATCATACAGGAAAGCTCCATCGCAAGGATCCCTCATGCTACATTTTATACTGCCCTCCATCTCTTCCTCCCTTAATCCTTGGCAACCACTAATCTGCTCTCCAAATTGATAATTATATCATTTTTACAAGTGTTATATAAATGGAATCATGCAGTCTATATCCTTTTGAGACTGGCTTTTTTTTTTTTTTTTCATTTAGCATCATTTCCTTGAGGTTCAACCAAATTATGGCATGACTAATAGTTTATTTCTTTTGATTGCTGAATGGTAGTCCATGGTATAGATGGGCCACAGTTTGCTTAACCAGTCGCTCACTGAAGGACATTTGGATTATTTCCAGTTTGGAGTTATTATGAATAAAACTGCTACGAATATTGGTGTATAGGTTTTTGTGTGAACATGTCCTAATTTCTCTGGTTTAAAGCCCACGAATGAAATTTCTGGGTCATACGCAGGTGCCTGTTCTGTTTTGTAGGTAACCACTATACTCTCCTCCAGAGTGGCTGTGCCATTGTTCTTCCCTCTCTACAGCCTCTCTCCAGCATTTGGTGCTATCACTATTTTTTAATTTTGATTTTGATTTTAGCGATTCTGGTAGGTGATAGTGATATTTCACTGTGGCTTTAATTTGCATTTCCCTACTGGCTAACAATGTTGAGCATGTTTATTTTCCATCCATATAAACTCTCTGGTGACACAGACATCTGTTTTGGCTGTGAAAAGATACTTCTCACTTCCTTTTTGGTTTTTAGTGGATTCTAAGGCAGGAGGTCAATAGTTTACAGATAAATGAGTTACTGCTCATGAGTGTCAACTACATGCAAGACAGTATTCTAGGTATTAGGGATAAAGCGATAAAGGGAACAGACAAAAATCCCTGTTTTCATGAAGCTTATAGTCCGGTGGGGGAGATGGCCAGTAAATAAAATAAATAAATTAAATTTATAGTATATTGGATGGTCTTACTGCTTTAGGGAGAAAAAAAACAAAAACAAAAACAAAAACAAAAACAAAAACAAAAACAAAACAAAACAAAAAAACCCAGCAAAGGCAGATAGGGAGTTAACCTTAGTTGCAGTTTAAAATAAGGTAGTCAGAAAAAGTTACCTTCTCTGAGAGGAGACATTTGAGTGAGGACTTGAAGTGACAGGAAACCACATGCGTGTCTGGTAGATGACTGCTCCTGGCTTTGAGGCAGGTGTGTTCTAGGAACATCAGGGTGGCCAACCTGGCTGGAGTGATGAGGAGGAAGGGGAGTGGGGGCAACATGGTCAGAGCAGCACTGCAGGAAGCTGACCATTCAGGGCCTCTGGGCATGGGTAGGACTGGGCTTCTCCTTCTAGAAGGTGTAGGGCAGAAGGGTAGTAGGTTTTGATTCTAATTCAAAAGGATCATCCCGGCTGCTGCATTGAGAATAGCCTGGAGAAGAAGGGTGGAATCAGGGAGGCTATCGTGACAATGGGTCAGGAAAACTACTGTAATAATCCTGCAACAAGTCATGTTGGTGGATTGGACAGGATGATGACAGTGAGGGTCACAAAAAAAGGGTGGATTCTCAATATATTTTGAAGTAGAGCAGACATAATTTCTTATCAAGCTGGATGTGAGATGAGAGAGAAAGAGAAAAGTCTGGGTCCAAGGTTCTTGGTTGGAGCATTGGAAGGATGGAGATGTGATTAGTGGAAACAGGAAAGAAAGCTCAAGAGCTCAGGTCAAGACGTGCACCATTTAAGGTAACTTTTAGACAAGCGAATGGAGATGACATGTCATGGAGGCAGTTGAATGATGACTCTGGAGTTCCAGAGAGGGGCTTGGGTGGAATGGTAATTTGAGAATCTTGCTTGGCACAGCACTTACCACATAGTTTGTGCTCCAAAATGGAGGCTCCTCTTAATCACAAGTCAATTCCTTAATCCAAAATCCTTGAGGCAACCAGCTGAAGCCACGGGAGCCTAGGATGACACACTGAAGCTGTTGCCCTAGTGGAGAAGAGAGAGCCGCTGGGATCTGGGGTCAGGTTTTAGAAAAAGCATTAAATTGAACCATATGAAATTGCCATTATCTGATCTTTTTTGACCTAAACAGTAAAAATTTCATATGGTTCACCCTAACATTCTCAGTGGGATCTGGAACAGCACCTTATAATCAAACACAGAAATATTTCTGCAGCCCAGCAATCTCATATTGAGTGAGATAGATAAGGACTCTACACACACACACACACACACACACACAGAGTGTGCGCCTTTTCACACACACACACACGCACACACACACACACAGTGTGCACCTTTCAATTCCGCTTCTGCTTCCAAATGCGTCATAATCACTTTCAGATTTTTAGAGCCTTTTGGACTTTGGGTTGTGAACTTGTATTGTCATCATTGTTGTTATTATTTTACCATTCCGAGTGGTATCCAGAGAGTTGAAGCACGTCAATGAGTGGAAAGTATCAAGGCACATTTCAGCTCAGTTTTGAAACTATGTCAGTGCTATCTGATGATACATCCTGTTTCTTCCAAAGGTGGAAGCTCTCTGTCCCATGAGTGAATACGGGATATGAACAGCCACTTTTTGGGGGACATGTTAGAGGAAATTCAATTATTGAA